TGCTCCTCCTGATTGTGTGTTCTCTCTCTCCTATCTCTCTCTTTCTGTCAAATAAATAAATCTTTAAAAAAAAAAAAAAAGAACTTTGAAGATCTTCTCCTTTAGCAACTTTCAAGTGTACAATACATTATTGCTGTCACCATGCTGTACATTACCTTCCAGGACTTATTTATTTTATAACTGGAAAGCCCCTTCACACATTTCCTTCACCCCCTCCCATCCCCACCTCTAGCAATGACCGATCTGTTCTCTGTATCTGTGAGTTCAGATTTTGTAGATTCCACATATAAGTGACATCATACAGTAGTTTTCTCTCTCTTCTGACTTATTTCACTTGCCCTCGAGGTTCATCTGTGTTGTCGCAAATTCAGTATTTTCTTCTTTTTTGTGGCTGAATAACAGTCCAGTGTGTGTTCCTTTATGCATTCAATCCATTGATGGACACTTAGGTTGTTTGCATGTTTTGACTATTATAAATAATACTGCAGTGAACATAGAGTGCAGGTATCTTTTTGAGATAGTGATTTCATTTTCTTCAGATAAATACCCAGAGGTAGAATTGCTCGATCATATGGTAGTTTTATTTTTAATTTTTTGAGGAATCTCCATACTGTTTTAAAACTGGTTTTACCAGTTTACATTCCCACCAACAGTGTACAAGGGTTCCATTTTATCCCCATCCTAGCCAGCATTTGTTATCCATTGTCTTTTTGATATTAGGCATTCTAACAGGTGTGAAATATCTCATTATGCTTTTGATTTGCATTTCCCTGATGATTAGTGATGTTGACCACCTTTTCATATACCTATTAGCCATTTGGATGTCTGGTTTGAAAAAAATGTGTTTAATTCCTCAGCCCATTTTTTAATCAGATTGTTATTTTGCTGTTAAGTTGGAGGAGTTATTTATACATTTTGAGTATTAACCCTTTATTGGATATATTATTTGTAAATATTTTCTCCCATTCCATAGGTTGTCTGTATTTTTTTTGATGGCTTTCTATGCAGAAGCTTTTTATTTTGATATAGTCCCACTTGTTTATTTTTGCTTTTGTTGCCTTTGCTCCTGGCATTATCAAGACCAGTGTGAAGGAGCTTATTCCCTATGTTTTCACTTAAGATTTATAGTTTCAAGCTTTATATTTCAAGTCTTTATTCCATTTTGAGTTGGTTTTTTGTTTATAAGATAGTAATTCAGTTTCATTAGTTTGCATGTGACTGTCCAATTTTCTCATCACCATTTATTAAAGAGATTTTCCTCTCCCCATTGTATATCCTTGGCTCTTTTGTAATAAATTAATTGGCAATATATGTGTTTATTTCTGGGCTATCTGTTCTGTTGATCTGTGTATCTGTTTTTTTATGCCAATGCCATACTCTTTTGACTACTGTAGGTTTGTAATATAGTTTGAAAGCAGGAAGACTGATATCTCCAGCTTTGTTTTTCTTTTTCAAGATTGCTTTGGCTTTTGGAGTCTTCTGTGATTCCATACAAAGTTTAGAACTGGTTTTTTCTATTTCTGTAAATAAATGCCAGTGGAATTTTTATAGAGTTCACTTTGAATCTGTAGAGTGCTTTGAGTAGTATGGACATTTTAACAATACTATTTCTGCCAATCCATTTGCATAAAATATCTTTGCATTTGTTTTGTGTCTTTTATAATTTCTTTCATCAATATCTTATAGTTCTTAGTGTATCGTGCAGGTAGATCTTTTATCTCCTTGACTAAATTTATTCGTAAGTATTCTGTTCTTTTTGATGCAAATTGTAAATGGAATTTTAAAAAATTTCTTTCCTGATAGTTTGTTGTTAGTATATAGAAATGCAACTGATTTTTTATATTGATTTGTGTCCTACAACTTTACTGCATTCATTTATTAGTCCTAACAGTTTTTTGGTGGAGTCTTCAGGGTTTTTTATATATACTATCATGTCATCTGGAAATAGAGACAGTTTTACTTCTTCTTTTCCAATTTGGATGCCTTTTATTTCTTTTCTTGGTTAATTGCTCTGGCTAGGATTTCCACATGGTAAGAGTCAGCATCCTTGTCTTGTTCTTTATCTTAGAGAAGCTTTCAGCTTTTCACTGTTGAATATACTGTTAGCTGTGGTTTTGTTATATATGGCCTTTATTATGTTGACTAACATTCTCTCTACACAGTTTCTGGAGAGTTTTTGTCATGAATGGATGTTGAATTTTGTCAAATGCTTTTTCTACATCTATTGTGATAATCATATGATTTTTATCCTTTATTTTGTTAATGTGTTGTATTGCATCACTTGATTTACAGATGTCGAACCACCCTTGAATCCCTGGAATAGATCCCAATTGATCATGTCGTATGATGCCTTTCATGTATTGTTGAACTTGGTCTCTTGATATTTTGTTAAGAATTTTTGCATCTATATTTATTAGGGATATTGGCCTGTAGTTTTCTTGTAGTGTCCTTGTCTGGATTTGGTATCAGGGTAACGCTGACCTGGTAAAATGAGTTGGGAAGTGATCCCTCCTCTTCTGTTTTTTGTAAGAGTTTGAGAGGAGTTAGTATTAATTCTTCTTTAAGTTTTGGTAGACTTCACCAGTGAAGCCATCTGGCCCTGGACATCTGTTGTTGGGAGGCTATTGATTACTGGTTTAATCTCCTTACTAGTTATTGGTCTGTTCAGATTTTCTATTTCTTCATGATTCAATCTTGGTAGCTAGTATGTTTCTAGGAATTTATGTTTCTTCTAGGTTGTCCAATTTGTTGTCATATACTTTTTCATAGTAATCTTGTATGATCTTTTATATCTGTGGTTTCTGTTGTAATGTCTCTATTTTCATATCTAATTTTATTCATTTAAGTTCTTTCTCTTTTTTTTCTTGGTGAGTGGCCTCTACTCTCTCCCATATAAATATGGACATTGAAGCTGACTCCATCCCCAGCTTCACTTTGATGGCTTCTTATTAATCTAAGTCAATTGTGGTAATCCCATCCTCCCCCCATTAAGAGATGGTTTGAGGAATAGAAATGTACCCAGTTCTCTCCAGTGTGACCTGTGAGATAAAATGCTGAGCACTCAGGTCTGAGATCTGGGAAAGATCACCTCTCTTTTAAAAAAAATAAAGGTAAAGGAAAAGATGGTATGCCAACTCCTAAAACCCCTACATTGGGAAATTTTTAGTTGACTTCCTGTTACAGCAAATATTAGGTATTACCATTTAATTTATAATTCAATGGCTGATTAAATACACATTTTTAATGAGGGGGATATTGGTTAAATAATTTTAGAAGTATCAATAGAGAATATATTTGGAAACAGAAAATCCAACTGTCACTGTTTTGTTGTTGTCATGTTTTTTAACCTAGAGGGATTTGTCTTAGGCTTCAAAAAGTTTGGCCGTAGCTACTTAGTGATGTTTCAGTTACCCAGATACTCTCTGTTTTTCTGCTTCCTTCCCCTTAGCTTTCATTGTCATGCCTGTATACTTTGTGATTACAAGATGGCTACAGCAGCTCCAGGCAGGAGGAAAGAGAAGGGACAAAAAGTGCCTGCCAGTTGAGTCTGCCTGCTTTTATCAGGAAAACTAAAGGTTTCCTGGAAGCCCCTCTCTGAAATCTGGGATATTTATTTGCTACTAAGTGCAGTGTATCAATTCAATCTATCTTCCCTTCTCAAATTTAGCTTCAAGTATGTTAATTCAGTAACTTTTTTATTTTTTGCTTATGTTTTATAAACTAAAGTTGGTATGTTAGACTCACTAGGTAAGACGTTTAGTTTTCTTTTTCTAAAATTTGCTTCTGAGCAAATATGTAAATTTGTGCTAAGTTCATGCAAATTAATATTTTTCATTGAACCAGGCATTGTGATGATTTTTAAATGAGCTTTGTATTTCTTATGTAAAGTTTTACTGTCTTAGGAAGAACAGAAGACCTATTGAGCATTTGAACTGAACTCCATTATAAGAATTATAATACAAAATACCTTTTTTCAGGGCCCCTTTTAAGAACGGAGATTCACAGTCCATTAAAAGAAAAAATGAGCAGTGTTTAAATTTAATACCTGACATTGCATTCAGGATTTATCTACAGAGACTTAGCTACTCTTAAATTGTATACTCAGCTCTATTTTTTTACATCCCCCTCCTACCCCCACCTCTATCCTGTTCACAGACCTATTTATTCCGAGCTCCTGAGACAGATCATTGAGGTAAAAATTAAAAGGATAATTTAAGCCTGCAAGAAAATGTGGTTTCAGATTCATTGCTGGAGGTAGAGATGCCTGCTGTAGACAAGGTGGAGCTGTACACTTTAGAAGGGGGAGAGGGACGCAGTGGGCAGGGAGAGCTGCAGTGGGGGCAGGGAGTGGCATTGGGGGCAGGGGGCCATGGGGGGGTGGGGCAGGGAGCAGCCGCCTGATTGTGGAGACCAGCTGAAATGCAGCTTCTGCTCGTTAATGGGGATTAGGCCTGGGTTCACGGTGCACTTCATTTTAGGATTCTGGATCTCATGTGGATGTGGAGAAATAGTTTCTGACATGGCTGAGCCGAGTCCTAGTTTAAGTCCATCTCCGTAGCTAAAGAAAATAAATGAGGTGTTTATGTTTGTGGTCCCTCCCGTATTTGTACCTAGTGTGGCTAGATAGGCCACACATCATGGGGGAGTAGTCAAAATATGTGTATGCTTCCGGATTGTTGTGAAAGAAAGAACTAAATAAATAAGCTAGTTCACTAATATTTATCGCTCTTCCATCTTTGTGGTCTATAACAGCATCTCTCCACATATGTGACTTTTATTTTTCCTAATCTTACTGTGCAGGAGGAGAGGAGTGGGAAACCAGGCTATTTTACTTCTGCGTCTCTCTGTTAGGGAAGAAGGAAACTCGCAAGTGAATCTACTAGTTATGTTGCCACAAATTTCTTGATCCAGTTTTTTTTAAAGTTATTTACAGTAATTGTGGACTGTACTGCATGTTGAGGCTAATTGGAAACAGTGACCAGATTCTTAATCATTGTCAGGAAACTGCATTCAGAGAATGAGAAGAACACCCCCACTGGATGAATTGCAGCCACCACCATATCAGGATGACAGTGGTTCTCCCCATCTCTCATGTACACCCTCAGAAATTGGGGACAGTAAATGTGAATTTTCCCACTGCAGCAACAGTCCAAGATGCTCATATAACAAGTGCCCAAGTGAAGGAAGCATAGGTCGTGAAATAGAAAGTTTTCCTAATAAAGGATACGAAGAAGATGTTCCAAGCGACAGCACCGCAGTCCTGAGCCCAGAAGTAAGTAACACAACACCTAGAGCTTTTTACGTGCATGTTATTAGAGGATGATAACCCTGTGCTTCTCTCGGTAAGAAGGTTTTATCACTGTCCTGTCATTTGTGGCTTACGTACCAGTATTATCCTTGATCTCATCTTTATCCGGCAGACTTAATGGACTGTCCCAACCCTTCTCCACGCACCCCCCTCCCTTTTCCCAAAAGGAAGATGGGTAGCTAAAAATGAGAGCAATTCACAAGATATTGAAACAGATTATCTTCCCTGGGTTTCAACCTCAAGATAGGTCTTTATATTTTCACATTTTATACAAAATATTCTGGAATTACTTAAGTGTTTCTTTCATCTTGAGGTTCCTATTTATGTGCTTTTTATTTTTAAAATTCTTTTATTTGGGATATTTTTACTTTGGGGAGGTTGCTCATTTGTGTTTTATAGGTTTTTCAAAAATGATGTTTTTACATTTTCATATCATGGAATATGGAAGGGATAAGTGATGCTCAGCCTTACTAATGAAACTTGAATGCATGGCATCATGTGTTTAGAGTCGTTGGTTGGTTGTGTTTTAAGTTATTTCCTATTTTGAAGCAAAAATGTGAAAATAACAACAAAAATAGGTGTGTTGAACTTTTGAAGTCTCTCCATGTTCTAGAAAGGATTTGTTTTAATCTTCCTTTTATGATGAAAACGATAAAGGTAATTTAAAGGTTTCCATTAGATAGTATGTGCTTTTAGGATTTATTTCTTTTAGATTGCAGGTTTTTACAACTTTTGTCCCAGACAACATTTCGTAATACTGTAGTGTGTCAGTGTTCTTACTGGGTGAATTTTCATCTACCACCAAAATTAAATAATGGAAGTAGAGCTATGAACAGAATTCCCTTAATTTTAAGTTTTTCTTATATAATTTCTAAAAACACATTTTATCTGTTACTACTTTTCTACTATTTCTAGTATTCTAATATAGTATCTAACTTAGAAGAAAATTCCACATTGGTATTTTAAGTTTAATCCATCAGGATTCCATGATTTTCCCCAAGAATCCTTCCCTGTGCCCTGGGCCTGAACATGTTGAGACCACTGTTGTATAGGCTTACCTGCCCAAGAGCTGGCCAACAAGCTGGCAGCCAAGCCTGGATCGTGGAATTAACAACAACAATGGCTGGCAACGATTATGCCAGAGATTTTGCTATAAGCTTTACAGTCAGCACATTTCATGTTAGTAACCTCATCTTCAGGAAGTTATTTCCACTTTACAAACGAGAACATTCAGACTCAGAGAGTGAAGCAGTTTGCCCGCATGTAAGCGCCTCTCAGATGGTGGCGCTATCATCCAAACCTAGGTCCGACCGCACACAGTGCTCTTACCGACTAGATCCTGTTTCCCACCTTGACCTAAATCATTGTGTGGGAAATTACTTCGATGCATCTGTACCCTCCCAGTACACCACCAGGCAAGCTATTTCGGGGGACTTGTGGACCAAATTCAGATGCTTAGATTACGTGTGTGTGTGTGTGTGTGTGTGTGTGTGTGTGTGTGTGTGTACGTACGTGTGTGTGTGTGTTTTAATCTATTTCAAATATAAAGAAGTAAGAGGAGCAAGATGAGCTAAGTGTTAACATACTTAGGATAGGATGCCAGTAGGTACAGGTGGCAGGAACACACTGTGTGAGCCTTGATTTAAGTATCGCCCATATGTCCCTGTCATTCTTTCTGCCCCATCAGTGTTCCCTTTATACGGTGTGATGACAAGGGCAAGAGTTGAGATTTTTTTATATAAATCTGTACAGCCACCACAGAGCTTGTACTCACGACCCCCACCCAGATCGAGAGTCGCATGCTCCACTGGCTGAGCCAGCCAGGTGCCCCAAGAGTCAAGATTTGGACAGGGGTACCAAGGGCCAAAAACTTTGTTTTCTGGGAGAGATGCAGGGACAGGTACTCCTGAGCATCAGTGAAACTTGCCAGTTAGCCTTTTTATTTGCATTTCTGCTTAAGGAACACATGGGTGACACAGCTGTTAGCTCAGAGGTGACGTGATCATGGCGTGAGCTTCACACCCCTTTCTCAAGGTAGTGCTCATTTGTTCTATAATATGTTTATTATGTCTATCTTTGGCATATATTCCAAGTTATTAACTTAGTTAATATCTGTAGTTACTGTATCTTCTGAATTTTGCCTGTCTCTCAAGTTACTTCCTTATTCATTATTTATAGTTAATACAACCTTTGAGTTTTGCCCATATTTCAGAAGCTGCCAGCTTGCTCTCTGTTAACACTGATGAGTCTCTTGTATGCTGCTTGTTTTGTGTCTCTACAGCAGAATTGAATATATTCAAACAATACAGCAAATGCAGATTATATCAATAACTAGATGCTTTTATAGCCTGTTAGTATAAAGCCCAATCTTGTGTTTTTTGCAAGTGTATTTTGCTTCCTACTGTTCCTTTAATAGATATTATTTATCAGATAGAAAATTCTTACTTTTTTCTTGGTTTATCCAGGATATAGCTATGTTAGAACCCATCCACATACATGACTGAACTGAAAATAGGAGTGAGGGTTCCAGAAAGATCCCTGGCAAGGAGGTCACAGACTCTATTGACGACCTATTGCTAGCTAACAATGATTCAAAACTTTAATTCAGACACCTTGAAAGGAAGAATTATTTTCTAGTTGTCTGTTACAGAACACAAATAGTAGTTTTTATCTGTAAAGGTCCGCCCTTTTAACCCTCTCTAGGACCTTATGAAATTTTTTACTTCCTTGAAAATCCTAGCTATTATGATACTATTTTAGACAATATTTCATTGAAAAATCAAAAGCCATGTAATTAATCATCTTTGATTGCCAGTTATGAAGGGGCATACGTTAAACCATTTTTCTCTAGGCTGTCAAGTTTTTTTTGACCGAGTAAGAATATGTTACCCTGATTTCATCATATTCCATTTAGAAAAAACCTGAATTCTTCTTTAAGAGTTTGTTGCCTCTCCCCAAGTATTGTTCTTCATTTATTACCTTTCTTTTCATACATGGTACCGAGCAGGTTACCATAAGTAGGTAGACGTGTAAGATTTATAAGGTAAAAGACTTGAATATTTTTGGTTCTCTACTGCACCGCCCCCCCACCTAAACTGTGGCCTGACACACAGTATAATAGGTACATGTTAAACTGCTTTAACAAGAAACCAGTACAGTAGCTAAAAACCACCAAAGATTGCCTTTCATTTAATGACAGTCCAGGGTCCAGGGTGAGTAGGTGGCTTTGCTCTACAACATCATTCAGGGACCCAGAGTTCTGAGGCCGTTGTTGTTGGGTTTTGTCATTCTGCCATCCCCTAGGTACTGTCCTGGTCCACCTGGTCAGGCAGAGCCACATCCTACCTGCGCGTCTGCTTGTGGGAAGACTGAGAAAGAGTGAAGGGCTAGTAACGTCTCGCGTAAACCTGATCTGGACGTTTCAGACATCACTTCCGTTTGCCTCCCATTGACCAAGGCCGAGTCTCATGAGCGTATCAGCCCTAAAGCAAGTTTGGAAATATAGGCTCTTGCCGGGCAGTGTTCTTCTGCCTAAAACTCAGGTAGTTCTTCTGAGAAATGCAGAAAGGGAAGACCGGGACTAGTAGTAGTGACTGCTACTATAGGCACTAAGGACAAGCTCAGAAACAGTTAGGAAATTGTAAAATTGGTCCACATTTCAAAATAAAAGACATTTAAGATTTATTAAAATACCTGAAGGGGCAAAGTGGTTATAGTTGAAAGGTCAGAGACCTGGGTTTGGCACTGTTGCTAACTAGCCGATACTCCTGTTACATTCCAGAGAGTTAGACTGGCAGGAATTTGAGACAGCTCCAGGTAGAATGGGTATAATTTCTTTCAAACTTATAGTCAAAATGTATAGTTTTGTCTTTCTTGAACTTTTGAAATGTGTAGTCAGCAATTTTCAACAGTAATTAACATTAAGAAATAATACATAGTTTTAAATTCAGATTAAAAGTTAAAGTGTAAAAAAGTGTGTGTGTGTGTGTGTGTGTGTTATGGAATGTAAGTGTTTGGCTGCAAATATTTTTGAGGCCTTTGGATTTATCCTTTCATATTTTACATTTCCATTGATTTCCAAGCCTGAATGTGTTTACATTCTATTACAGATGGGGGTGTTTTAGAACAGACTTGAATGGGACCAAATTTTTCGACGGCATTACACTCGTATTTATGTTCTCTCTCTCGCCAGCCTAATACTGAGCTGTCAATTGTGGTGTTTATAATGTCAGAAGTAAAATATAGTCATTTCCTACAAAAAGAAGAGAGATACACATTGAAGTATATATTTTCAGTTCTCATCATGAAGACATATATCCAACTTTCTCAAAATTGTGATGGGAGATGCTAAATTCTTTGTTATAATAAGTTTTTGAGTTTAACCTACCACTTTTCCCACCCTGGCCCTGTAGAGTAGCTTTTGATGGTAGTTGACCGTTAATTACTCTTACTTTCTTTCTGACAGCAAATCAAGACAGTTTTCACATCATCTTCCTAAAGAAATATCAGGTATTTATTTACATGCTAGATTAAATGATAGAGCTAAAAACTGAAAACATTTAAATTTGCTTTTCTTAGGATATGTCAGCTCAAGGATCATCATCACAGCTTCCTAAACCTTTTGATCCTGAGCCAGAAGCTAAATACGGCACACTGGATGTGACTTTTGACTATGACTCCCAAGAACAGAAGCTTCTGGTAACAGTGACAGCTGTCACAGATATCCCAACACATAACAGGACAGGTGGCAACTCATGGCAAGTACACCTTGTTCTTCTACCTATAAAGAAACAGAGAGCAAAAACCAGCATCCAGAGAGGACCATGCCCTGTCTTCACAGAAACATTCAAATTTAATCACGTTGAATCTGAGATGATTGGAAATTATGCAGTTCGGTTTAGACTATATGGTGTACATCGCATGAAAAAAGAAAAGATTGTGGGGGAAAAGATTTTTTATTTAACAAAATTGAATCTTCAAGGGAAAATGTCATTACCTGTGATATTGGAACCTTCTTACAATCATTCTGTGAGTATCTGATCAAAAAGCCTGAATACGGTTTACGTCGTGCTGTGTAACATACATAATTTTTAAAAGCCATGATCAACCCACCAACTTTTTCAATTTTTTTTGTATGTGACAATCATACCTTTACAAAATTTCTAAGCCCCAGCTAGGTAGGTATAGTTCTTTCTCCTTCTGCAAAAGTTGCCCTTGAAGATTATATGTGATTTTATCTATTTTATCCTTCACAGGGTCTGGTGCCGTGTCTTACACGTTTGTTCCTTGGTTATATATTTATTAGATGATTGATTATGGCGTCAAGTGAACTCCTTGTAGAATTTATTGTTTTCTTTCCAGGTTAAAACGAAGTGCCATAGCAAGATCGAGCCCCATATCTTACTTAATATAGTGCAGAAATTACTTGCTTTTATAGTCTATGTACCGCTGCCCAACTCATGACTCATTATCCTTCCAGAACTCCTATGAACTTATTTTTAAAGGTTCAAAAGAAAACCTGGCCTTGTTATACTCTGCACCCTTTTTAAACAAAGATTTTGCAGTATATCTGGGAGAATACTTAAGTTTGGTCTATGAGCTGCTCTCCCTTTTCTCTTTTTTCCTTCAGGTTCTCATCACATACAAGTCTCTCTCTTTCTCTCTCCATATTTTTAACTAAATTCCCACATTACAAAGCACAGGAGAGCTGAACAACTTCTTTAAACTGGGGAGATAAATTATGCCACATAGTTATTTAGATTATGAGAAAATCTGTGATACGCTATAAATGTAAATCATGAATTATATTTATTTCTCTCTGGGTTATATTGAATTGAAAGCATTTTTATAATACAAATACAGAGATTTTAGAATGGATGTATATTTTTAAGTAAAAGTATATTTTAGGGTTGTTTTTAAGCTTTTAAAGGTGTAAGCATAAATCCAAGATCGGAGCCTCACTGAATTTATACCAGACAACATTTAGTCTTACAGGACAGTCATTTACAATAGATGTTTTTGTTTTTGTTTTTTACCATTCCATTTTAGCTGCATGATTTCAACATTTTTCAAACCAAAAGGTGATAGTAAATATAGTATATCCCTATTGGTTTGTAGTATAATAGCCTTTATTGATAACTTGTTATAATTTTAAATTGCAGAATTACCATTTTGGGCAAGTGTCCTTTTTAAAAATACAGTTATCAATTTATCAGAGGAGAGAGAAAAGAAAGTCCAGGCAGTATTTCAGATGGAAAAAGATAATTTTTTTATAAAATTGAATAGTCTGCAATGCTTAATAGGATTTTAAACATTTTCATGATTTGGTCTGAGTGATGACTAGTTAATCTGTGGAAAATACATTCTTTTAGAGAAGTACCTGATTTAAATTAGAAGAGAATGACTGTGTCATCACGAGGTATGTATTTTGTGTTTATTTACTTCAAATTATCCATTCCTAGTTCTGTATTAAGTATATTCATTTCACAAAGAAAATGAAGCCATAAAAAATAATGTGGTTTTATCTCTGGTCAAACTTAATTATTTCTCTACACACCTACATTACATGTATTAGCTTATGGTCATAGATTCTGTATTTCTGACAATCAGTACAATAAATTTCTGAGGATGTTCACAAAAAGAAGACAGTGCTGGACAAACAGCTTCTAAGATATAACATTTAAATCTGAATACAACCATCTTCAGCTCTTGGAGAATTTCTTCTCTAATTGCCACACTTCCCAAATCTAATGGCTGTGTTTAATTGTTCTTCTCTCTTATCTTCTTTCCTGTTCTGTCTTCTCAAAATCTCATTGCTTGTTTTTGGATTTTGTGCCAAAAGCAATTCAGCGCACCACAGTTGTGAGGTCAAGAGTCATAATTTTGTCTATCAGTCGTCTTATCATAATAATAAAATACTACTAGAATCTGTATGTTCTGTGTATGCTACAGTATTAATGTTCCCTTTGCTTAAGTTTTGATATGGAGAAATCATGTGATTATAGATTACATGGGTGATTTTAGCTTTAATTCTGTAAAATGTAATATAAGTGAGAAGTTCTTTCATAATGAAACATTTATTCTTGTAGCTTTTAAATAATTACTTGTTGTTGCAAGAATATTAGCCTTTGGCAAGGGACAGTTTTAATCCAGCCAAAAAATTTATATACTAGGATTAAAACATATTTGAAGCTTAGTTATAGTTTACCTTCAGGGCTAATAATAGAAAAATAGAATTCTACAATGTAACATTTAGCTCTATAGCCAGTTTTTCAGGAACTGATCAAATCAGTACATTGAGAGAAAAGTGACCACCATCACCCAAAGACTTTTTGAGAACTAAATCCTACATTTTCCGTAGGGTAGGATTTAAGTTGAACTTTAAGATAAAGATACAGTTTGAGGGGCGCCTGGGTGGCTCAGTTGGTTAAGCGACTGCCTTCGGCTCAGGTCATGATCCCAGGGTCCTGGGATCGAGCCCCACATCGGGCTCCCTGCTCGGCAGGAAGCCTGCTTCTCCCTCTCCCATTCCCCCCGCTTGTGTTCCCTCTCTCTCTGTCTCTCTCTCTCTCTTTCTGTCAATTAAATAAATAAAATCTTTTTAAAAAAAAAGATACAGTTTGATCACTGAATGATAGAAAATATACAAAGGGTTAAAAAAACATGAGTTTTTCCCACTAGTTGTGATTATAACCTTGGATAAATGATCTAATCACTTTAGGCATCAGGTTTCTCATTAGTAAAATGAGGGAATTAAACCAAATGTCCCATCTATCTCTGATATTCCAATTCTACTAGTTTATATTGGGAAAGGCGTTAGGTAAGAACAGAAATGGGTGGATTTTAGATGAGTTTTGTATGCTAAATGTATGACATTTTGTTCGGACATTGATTATGTTTTCTTACTCTTCCCTGTCTTTTCAACCATCTCCTAATGTCTGAGAAAGTCCCAGCTACTAGTACCCCCCCCCCCCCCGACCCAGGGTAAGCTGTAAAGTTCACTTCCCAGTCTAACCGGTAGCTAGGGCAGTCTCATTATTGCCTGAGAAAATATGAACTATTTTCCTGGAAACCTCAGTGCGGACTGAACAGAGAAGCGGGTGCTGCGCTCACCTCATGTCTGCATGAGGCTGATGGTGGAGGAATCTGACCCTCAGAGTCAGTAAAAATTCTGAAATAGCTTTGTTGGTGCAGAAACAGTATTGGTGCTAGACAGTGACAGTTGCAGGAGAGAAAAGACCTTGGCACAAAAGTGTCCAGTGGGGGCAGCAGCAAAATTTCCTCACCAGACCAGTTTTGCAGGACGGCTTTAGGTTTTGTTTTTGAGAAGCTTACCCGTAAGCCTGTTCTCTAGTCATCCCGATTCCTTTAGTAAATTACTATTCCACTTCGAGTTAGCTTCCAGAGTTTTCAAATAGGACCCTGACTGATAAATGTTGAAATAGCCCGTGGGTTTATTATTTACTTGTTGTAGTGATCTCTTAAGCCATACTCAACAGCTAGAGTGTTATCAGTTACCCTTCCTACCATGGTATAGCCCTCTTATAATTGGAATTTTTCTCATATACTCGGCTGCGTTCATATGGCACTCTTCCCTAGTGTAGAACCCCAGTTACCTTCTTCATCTGCATTTTTGACTCTGCATTCCTGTGTGTAACAGCTGCCTGGAATAGCCTTTCTTCCTTTCCTCAGTCCAGTTGTATTTCTCATTCAAGTTACTAGATTTCTTAATAGTAATGTAGATTTTTTTCTTATGATTCATTAATAATGAGACTTCATTCTGTCTCTCATGAACATACACAACGCTTCCTTATACAAACAGTATTTAGTTAGCATGATGTACGCAATGTGACTAGCTAGAAAATGGGGGCTTCGGTCCTACAACTGCAAAGGACTGCATTCAGCTAACATCTTGAAGGAGCTTAGAAGTAGATTCTTGCCAGAGCCTTCAGGTAGTAGCCCAGCCCATCTGAAACTTTGATTTTAGTCTTGAGAGACCCTAAGCAGAGAACCCAGCTGAGCCCATATGGCCTTCTGACCTACAGAAAATGTGATGAAATTGAAGTTGTAATGCTAAATGTACTGAATAGGCACCCAGATGTCTGTGTTCGATTAATTCTGGTTCCATGTTATATTTCTGTGTGAATGCATAGCATCTATAGTAAGTAGACATGGGAGTGGGTGGGCTTGTCTCTGGGGTGAGGAAGATCCTCAGGAACTCTAAGACTTAAAGGCTGGAGAAAGGAAGGGTAAGGTAGGAAGAAGGAGAGAGCAAAATATCACAGAAGCCAAGAATCAATTATAAAGGAAGGAATCAACTTTGTCAAATGCTTCTAATGGAACCAATAATCTAAGTATTGAAAACTGTTCATTGATAGGCCAGTAATGGGTAGCCTTAGAGGGACAGATTTGGGTGGGGTACCGAGGGCAAAATCCAAACTAGAGTGGCAATCATGTGGACAACCTTTACACCCAAGTTTGGCTATGAAAATAGGAAGGAAGAAGAGACAGTTTTTGGAAAGTAAGGCTTTAGGAAAGACGTTTTTGAGGTTAGGAGAGAGATGAACATGCTTAAATTACTGACGCCATTGATGTCATCATTGGTGGAGGGTACAATATGGGGTTGCTAATTGAAGATGGGCGTTAATTGATATGTCTGGGATGAAGAGAGAGGCAAAAATGTTGAGTATTTTTAAGACATATATTTTGGACCATGAGATCTCAGTTGAAAGAGAGAAGTGAAGCTAGAAAGGGCCTGATAGGCAGGGGAAGGAAAGGTTGGTGGACTGAAAATCCCAGGCATATCAAGGACAGATGTGAGAGGAGGAGTTGAGGAAGAAGTACAGCATGACAGGGGAATGTGACTAGAGAGAAGACTGCTTTCAGTTAATGCGGTAGATGGCAAGGGCCAGAGTGGGCATCTGAGAGGAATAGGAGGCAGAATCACTGGAGATGGGTAAATTGGTCAGGCGAGGCCCCGTTCTTGGTGGATAGGTTATCCACATGGACATTGAAGTAACAAAAGATAC